AGTCTATAAGGTGTCACAGGACTCCTCGTCGCTTCTGCAGATTCAGACTAACACGCCTACCCCTCTGATATTCTCGTGTCTTGCTCACAACACCCCTGTTAATACATCCCAGAAGGATATTTGCTTCTTTTTGCAACAGTGTCACACGCTTGACTCATATTTAGCTTGTGTGGTCCAATAGGACCCCTAGATTCCTTTCTGCAGGACTCCTTCCTAGATAGTCGCTTCCCATTCTATATGGCTGTGTCTAGACTGCATCCCTTTTCCGAAAGATCCCTTATTCCTCTTAAAATCTTTCAGAAAAGTGGCATATTCATATTTAGCTAGTGGTCCACTATGACCCCTACATCTCTTTCTGCCATACTCCTTCCTAGACACAGAAGGGGAGCCATGTTAGTCTGTAACTGAAAAAACTTTAAAAACAATGAATGGTTCTGCAGCACGTTACAGACTAACACGGTCTTTAAGGTGCTGCAGGACCATTCGTTGTTTTTAAGCTCTTTGCAATGGATTGTTCCTCCCTATGTGGAGCACTTTGCATTGGCATGTGCTTAAATCCCTCTGAAATGTCAAATGAATCATGGACTTACATGCTTTGCAGAATTAGGGCCTTAGTCTCTACTTAACTAGCACTCCTATCAAGTGCCGAACTCACGCAACTCCTGTGGAATTTGGCCTGCCTCCAGGCTAGGCAAGAATTGCAAGGGCTGGCCCATGCAGTACATTTCAGTTGGTATTTACTTCCCTTTGCCACATGCAATGTCCTGAAAAATCTTCCCTTCGGATTCCTGCCTGGCTAATTTGCTGGGCCTGGATTTATGGAGCTTTATGTACCCCACCCGCACAGGCAGCTCCGGGTTCGTTAGCATCCGTGTGGTGCTTGGGGTGAATGGTGTAGGGGAAATGCCGAGGGGGTTGTAGTGCTGGCCACCGGAAACCAACAGGAATGTTGGAAAGACAAAAGGTGAAATTCACGTCATGCGATTTCGCGCAGTCACGACAGGCCAACAGCTGTTGGGAGCCTAAGAGCCATGAGCCCGTCGCTTCCACGGCACCCGCCCAAACTCCGGCCAGTGGCTCCAAAAGCCACGCAGCCCGTGTGAAATCAGGGGGCGTCCTCGTTCCCACCCCGCAATCCGGACAGCGGACAGCCTGGGCTGAACCCGCCACAGAGGGGGTGCAGATGGGGGCTGGGCTTCTTCCCAGCTGTGGCCAGGAGTCCTGTAGCAAAGCTGGCTAGAAGGCCGGGCCCAGCGGGTAGTGATCAACAGCTCGATGGCAGGCTGGTGGTCGGTTTCTAGCGGAGTGCCCCAAGGTTGAGTTCTGGGACCGGTTTTGTTCAACCTCTTTATTAATGACCTGGATGAGGGGATGGATTGCGCCCTCAGCAAGTTTGCGGATGACACTAAGCTAGGGGGAGAGGTAGATACACCGGAGGGCAGGGATAGGGTCCAGAGTGACTTAGGCAAATTGGAGGATTGGGCCACAAGAAATCTGATGAGGTTCAACAAGGACAAGTGTAGAGTCCTGCCCTTGGGACGGAAGAATCCCAAGCACAGTTACAGGCTGGGGACTGAATGGCTAAGCAGCAGTTCTGCAGAAAAGGACCTGGGGGTTACAGTGGATGAGAAGCTGGAGATGAGTCAACAGGGCGCCCTTGTAGCCAAGAAGGCGAA